ACACCCCTCCCCCAACCCCACCCACTTTTGTTTCCTAACAGTTCACAGAGTTCATTACCGAGGCTGGAGTAGATGAAGTTATTGTGCTGGGCGGTGGCCCTTCTGAAAACAATGCCGTCACCCTTCAGAGACTGTCCGGAAACCAAACAGCCAACGGGGTAGTCCTGAGGAGCATCAACAATGTGCTGATTGTGCGCTTCAAATCTGATGGGCAAAGACAGTTTACCGGTTTCCAGGCAACCTGGACTGCTTGTGAGAGTTTTTAATAATAATCATATTAGCTATAAACTATTAGCTTGGTTTTTTCTTTGAAAAATTAAAATTAAAATTGACTTCTTTTACATGTTTGTAAAAATCTTTAAACTTGGTTTTACTATTCACACTGGCATACCTTTGTTGTTACCTAGCACCGTGGCCCTTTGACTGTCTTTCATAGCTGTTAAGTTGATTGGTACAGGATGTGGTCAGTGCTAAGGTGAGGGGGGAAACAAATATGCTGCTTTTGTTAGGCCCTTGTGGGTAAAACACTCTAATAAATTATGTTCAGTTCTACTGTGGACGTTCATACAAATGAAACACTAATTATTGTTTCTCTAGCTGCCTGCTCCTAATCTCTGTACATTGATTGTAGTCCACAAGGTTACATCACTTCCAAAAATATTCGCTGGATTTTTTTAAGGGTAACATCGTCAATTTTTGGCGCTGCAATGTCTCGGTGTAACGCTTTCCAATTGCTTCAATATTGCCTGTTTCCTCTCTTTTTCAAGTTTAGACCCCATGATTCGATCTAATTATCTGTTTGACAATGTTTGGTGAATTTTGTTGTGTAGCTGTGCTTTAAAAAATGCCTTCTTTGATGTTGTTTTGTCTTTAAAAAAATACGTTTAGTATTATGATTTGTCTTTGTAAAAATACAACTTGCAAAAAATGTTCTTTCTTCTGTTGCAACAGTGCAAACTGGGTATCCAGATGGCGGCCTGCTGTTGACATCCACAAACACTTTCCAGAGCCTGACTTCCTATGACTACCCTCGTCAGTACCTACCGAATCAAGAAAGTGTTTTTATCATCTCTACTCCCGAGACCCGGCAGATTTTGATACTTGAGGTCAGTGAGTACATCGTACAGTCCAACTTAATGAAGATCAGTGCAAATATATCAAACCGTTTCTTTAACTTTGTTAGCATGTTTTGATTGCGTTCTTAAATTTTTCTTTCGTTTGAATTTTTAACAACACGTTTAGTTGAAGATGAAGATTTCTTTTGGTGGCCACTCTTTGTAGTACCGTGCAGAGACAATAATTAAACTGTGCTGGGTTGTGACATCAATATGGGGCCCATTATGTTCCCATTTGGGATGTAAAAGGGACGTAGCTTTTGATTAAAAACTTTATTTCTTTTCGTGACGATATTAATATTCCTCCTTCAGTGAAAAAGAAGAAAGTTGCAGTTGAAACTGAAACTCTCTTCCTTTGAGATTATCAGTCTGAAAATTATGTTACCGTGGCTCTAGAGGTCAAAAGCTGTACTTAATGTCATTTTTCACTCTGCTGTAAACTCTTATTTTCTTTAATCCGGTTCTTTTTTTTTTTGGAGGGGGGGGGGTGGCTGTTGAATGTGTTTTTCTTCATTGGCTGAGCTTCAAAAAGCTATAATCAATCACCTCTGCAAGATTTTAGCCACACATTACATAAAACCTATTATGGTTTACGGAAATATACGGTATATGCATACTTTATATAATAGCTATCTTCCAAATGTGCCTTTCCTCAAAATAGATTCAAGCATTTGATGTGGCTGAAGGAGATGTTTTCATCGTCCGAGATGGCCCAGATGCAAGCAGCCCCCTGATTACTCAGCTCACTGGTGCCATGGAGGAAAAGCAGCTCATCTTTTCTACAGGTCCATCAGTGTACATACTGTTCAAGACAACACAACAGACTGGGTTGTCAAATTCTGGATTTCAGCTGCGGTATAGAACGGGTAAAAGACATATAGATCTATATTTTTTCATTTATTTTTTTTATTTTTATTTTTATTTTTTTGCTCAGTCAGTGCTTTAGGCTCTCTACGATCTAGGCCTATGGAAATCTGTTTTTGGTGGATGAAAATGTCATTTTCCCAAAACGATTTGCCCAGACATTGCTGTTTTTTTTTGTTTATTTGTTTGTTTATTAGTTTGTTGTTGTTTTTTGTGTTTCTTTTTGTTTTGTTTTGTTTGTTGTTGATTTTTTGGGGTGGGTTTTTTTATTTTTTATTTTTTATTTTTTATTTTTCGTTCATAATTTTTTGTTTTTT